TATTACTATGCTCATCAGTAAGATAAAGAAACACCTGCTATGATCATGGTTCAATATTAAATGAAAATTAACCTGAAATAAACTTATTAAATATTATATATTGTATCAACTTTGTATTATAAAACCTTTATCTCAGTACATAGAAATAGCTACATTGGTTACATTAGGTAGCAAGACTGCATTTATTAGGAATTAAGATATATTAAATTTTCTTAGTTATTGACTTACATCACAATGCAAATAAGAATGTAGTTTATTTAAATAAAACCCATCCTGCTTACAAATTCGAAATTACTATATCCTATAAAAGTACTTGGTAACATAAATGTTACTTCAATAACCTTCAACAAATTATTGCTTGTTTAAATTTTATTTGCTACTATTGCCATTAGTGGCCTTAGATGGGGTCCTCAAACTTTTTAAAGGGGGGGGGCAATTCATGGTCCCTCAGACTGTGGTGAGGGGGCGGACTGGGTAGGTGGGTGTAGCTAGGTGGTCATATGGGTGGATGTGGCTAGGTTGTCATGCGACCGTCTGGGCATGGTCAATTTAGCTGTCCATTAAACAATACACACACATTAAACTTTAATGTGTTATGCTCCTGGGGGTGGAATGCAGGTTAGTGAAGGGATACAGCTGCCTTGGGGTGTGTCTCCCTCTCGCCTTCTCTGTGGAGGCTGGGGTGGCCAAAACTTGGCCCATTTTTGGCCTCCTTGGCCTTCAGAACCACTCTGCCGCCCAAAAATGGGCCCATTTTTGGCCTCCTGAGGCCTTCGCACTTCCCGTTTTTGGCCTCCTTGACCTCCAGAAAGTGGGGGGATGGGTAGATGGGGGGATGCGGGAGAGCAGCCTTGTGGTCCCTCGCTGGCCGGATTAATGGTTTGACAGGCTGTATCTGGGCCCCAGGGCGTAGTTTGAGGTCCCCTGCTTTAGATAGTTAACAGATATTCATATACAATAGTAATTACCAAAACCTAAGTAACAAAACTATTTTTTAAAAAACTTCATAAGAATTTTTTAAAACAAAAAGTTTTAAGCCAGTTAAGTGCTAGCTTTAAACATCAGCACCAAATTCTACCCATCAGGGGAAAATAAATTTTAGCTGCTGCTGTTAAACAGATGTGTGGTGCCCCACTGAACATCTTAATTTTAGGACAGATCACACAGATGTAGACATTCTTGCAAAACAAGGTCCAAATTACAGAAGTCTTCCCACATCATAAGAATTGAAGACTTGAACTGTTTCTGGAAACTATCAGTAACCAGTGCAACTAATCCAGGGACGTGACATCTTACAGAAGCACTATTCACCATATAAACTATTACATTTTAAGGTTGGGTACTATCAGAATACTAATAACACTTAGCATGAAATCCATGCATGATTCTTCTCATTTCCTAAATAATAATGTCCCCCACATAATAATTTTCAAAAGGGCCAAGCAAAACTTCCCATTATCCAAATGAATAAAAAGACAACACTAAAAACAATGCCATGTCTATTTTCTTCAAGCAACTAGAAAAAATACTATAATCAATAGAATAAAAAAAGCATTTAAGAAATCCAAGATGACAACCGGGACATACTTCCCTTAGTTCTTTCTTAGTACAGATCATCCACCACACAATCAAGTTATTTAGAACGGAGTCTAAATCTAGTTTGAATTTCTGGAGTTCCTGGAGAACAGAATTAGTGTTTTTTTCCCCACCAGCTTGGCTAAATAGGGATTACCAGATGTTGTTTCCATTCATATTCTAGAATGCATTTTAAGAACTCAAGGCTTGTGGTAAGGTTATGGGTCAACTCAATTATTGCCCAATTATTAACATTTCTTTCCACCTGATTATTGCAAGGACACTCTATCAGCCTCTATGCATAATAAGACTAACCTAATAATATCAACTGTGCATTCATCCATTTATCCTATTGTTTGTTTGCCTGTATCCTGCCTTTGTTATTTTTTACAAATAATTTAAGGTAACAAACATACCCAAAACACTTTCTTCTCCTATTCTCCCTCCACAACAACCCTGTGAGGTGAGTTGGGCTGAGAGAGAATGACTGGCCCAAGGTCATCTAGCTGGCTAAGGTGGGACTAGAAAATTTCTAACCTGGTTAGGTCTTAACCACTAGGCCAAATTTTAATTTTAAAACATCCTACTTATTTTCAGGGGAATGTCAACCTAATAGAAAACATTAGACTAACATTTCTACTGGAGAAGCTGCTGAGAGTAGATCATGACCTGTGTTTGAGTACCTGCGTTTCCAATAGTTGCAAGCAGTTATTCTTCAATGAAATGGAGTCAACAAGCAAAGTGGAATCATTGCAAAGTATTAAGTTCAGGAATGTACTCATAGCTCCAATTACTATGTAACAAGGGAACCAAAGAGATTAATTTGTCTAATTATTCATAATGGTTGTCATGTAGAAAGCTTTAGTCATTAATAAGATTGTGCAAGGCTCACCAGTCCATCAATCCCACAACTTGAGATCAAATATTGTAAACAATGCCCCACTAGCAAGCAGATACAGGAAGCAAAAGCATGGGAACCAGAAGCAGGGACTCCTTCTTAAGGGCATGGGATCAATTTATTTATTGCGTTAGGTGGCCATCCAACTTCAGAAGACTCTGGAATTACTACCCCCAGTTAAGAGTAGCAGCAGCAGGAGAACATCACCACCTTCACATAAGGGCAGCAATTTTACTACATTTGGTCCAGGCAAACAATAAGAGGCACATGGCTAAGATAGCAGAATTCAGATCAACAGGGCTATAAGAGATGAGCTCTGTTTCCTTACAATCTTATGATCCTCAGGAAACTCTTGCAGTGTTTAACCTATTGGTCCTGGTCCTGCCCCCTCAAGGGACAGAGAATATCTACTTCCTCTTCTACTTGAGAATTTTTCAGATATCCAGAGACTGCTCTACACAGCCCCCCCCCCCAACTTCTCCCCTGCAGGCTAAATATACCTAGAGTCAGTTTGGTGTAGTGTTTAAGGTGCAGACCTAGAAATCAGGAGCTCCTCCCCCACCTTAGGCAAGAAAGCCAATTGGGTGACTTTGGGCAATTCATTCTCTCTCAGGCTAACCCACCTCACAGGGTTGTTGTTATGGGGAAAACAGGAGGAGAATGAAGAAAATCAGGATAGGATAAAAAAAATCTTACAAATAAGAATACCCAAGCCATTTAATAATTTCTCGTAAAGTGGGGTTACCAATAATCTCACCCCCTTGGAACTCCTCCTGTGAATTCACTCACTTCTCTCCATCCATTTTGGTGTTCAGAACCAGACATATTACTCCAAATGGTGTCTCACCATGATGACAACGGAAAGTAAATTCACTTAATCACTATTTAGTTTGCTTTTTCTTGGTAGCAAACTGTTGAATGAGAACAAGGAATTTATTGTTTTCTTCCTTAAATTATTGATTGCTGTTAATATCAGAATATCTTACTTGAAAATAAATCCACTGATTTTGACGAAACTTCAATTTAGGAGTGGACTGTAAATCAATTTCTCAAATTAAAATATGAACAAAGTAAAGGTCAAATTTGAATGCATACCATACAAAGACTGTATCTTTTGGTTCATTAAACCAATCAATCAAAAATCACAGCTCTAAGAGAACAGGTACATTGATCAAATTCAGAAAAGAATGCAGTAAAAACTACTGTACAACATGTGTAGGAAATTTACATGCAGTTATTTCCCAATTCTCAAAAATTTCCCAACTCTGAAAATTTCACTAATTAACAATATCATCTAATACACATTTACTTATAAGTCTCAGCGCACTTATTATATGTTATGCCTAAAAAGTCTGCACAAACGGCAGCCATATCTGGAGATTTTAGTAAATGCTTAGGCATTATCTTAAATTTTTAAAGAATATCTGCTTTACTTTTATATCTGTATTATCTTTACAGGCTATTTTGCCCAACAAATTATTTTCACTATTTTTAAACAATGATTTGCAAGTGGCAAGGGCAGAAAATACTTCTAAGTACTGTATTCCACCACTTAAACAAAGTATCATTACCACAAAGCAACTACTTTAATAGTCATTAGGATTTAAAGCCTTAAACCTAACACAAGCTTCCAAGAAATCCATACAATGCTAGAGACCCAGGCAAACACCCCAATAAGAAAACATACCCACAATTGGGTGCGATACATTTTTACCGTCAAAGCGCTACACGAAACACCCTGGCCAAGAGTTAGAATTCTGTAAGGCTAGAATAACACGCAGGATGGGAGGGGCCCAAATTCTCTATTATGGGGTGGGGATTCCCCACCGTAAACAGGGATTTCCTCAGCACGTGTGCAGGAATTCCCTGAATCACTGAAAGAGAACAAGGTAGCCATTTATAGAGGTCAATTACGTGCATGCAAATAACATGGAACACGTCCTGGGGTTTTCCCACTTGCTAATTCTATGACTCCACAATATTTAAACATTTTCAGTTCGGCACTCATTTATTGAAGAACATGCCTTTTAAGATTACTTACCAGTTTCAGACCGTAATTGTCTCAAAACATGTCATCTTTATGGAAAGGGGCAATGGATTTTACTGAACGTAGCAAAACGAATATTAGCACAATTATTCAACATTCGGTATAAAATAGGTGCAGCCTAGAAAGAAGTTCGTTTTCCAGCATCCTTTCCAGGGCTTCCCCTGAGCATATTTACTCAGCAGTCATTCTGAATTAATTCAGCAGGGCTTACTCCATCATAATCATCTTTACCACTGCAGCCTTCATAGAACAAGGAGGAATATCAAGAACAGCACTGGCAGTTTGTGTATTCAGTGTCAGATGGGCCACCTTATCCCAGGGAAACAAGAGAAAATGTGGTGAGCTTTTTACATTTAGCTAAAAATACCAACATCTGGGAAGTCATGCCCCTTTTCTCATTCCATCCTAAGAGCCAGACCCGTCTCTAAAAATGCGATTAATAAAACAAGCAATAGGGATTGGGGATTTTTTTTGTTTTACCTTTGGAACTCTTCGCTTCCTTCTCTGAGGCCTTTTGTTTTCAGTTAGCACCTAAAGAAAGACATCAAATGGCAAAATAAACCCGGGTAAATAAGCCAGTCAAGTAAACAAAAACCAGTTTTTCCATCTTTCTGGGAAGACTTCACGGGCACACCATCACGCAGGACTTCACCCGCGACTTAAAACGGGGACCGAGCAAGTCAGTCGCACTACCGCGGGGGAAAGAGGGTTAACCGAGGAAAAGAGGAGGTGGAGGTGGGGGAGGGGAATCATAATAAACAAACCACCTTTCCCCCAGCTCAAAAGTCGGGCTGAGGGAGGGCTCGGCATTCTTCACAGCGAAAGCCACAGGGTAGCCATCTTGCTTCCTTCTGCAGAAAAAGCCCTGTGCGGAGTGTGCACTTCTTCAGCGCGCTTTGGCAAAATTATGCTCATAGTGCTTCCACAGAGCCACAGCGGCGGCGGCCGCTCGGAGAGCGCAGCAAAACCTGCCTGCCAACGCTAGGGACGTGCTAGGCATGCCTCGCGATTATTATTACGCACACATACACGCGCGCGCGCGCGCGCG